GATTTAGCATACCACCAAACTTCAATACATTAATAGGACGAGACCTTGGTGTGCGGGTGCCATTGACCCCATTGACGACTGGGACCTCAGCAAGTACACCGTTAGAGAGGGTGAGAGTGGTCATGGTGAAGGAGGGGACTGTGGCAATCGGTCACTGGGAACCATAGTACTGTCAGTGGCACAAAATGAAGGAAATGAAGGGAAAGGGAGCGTCCGAGCCAGCCAGCAAACGAAAGAAAACAAGGACCGAGACCAAAGGGCGTTTACGGGGTTACAGTCAAGAAAGCGACTGGCATCGTCTCTCCCACTACCGTAGAGGGAGATGATTCTGGCCCCGTTTTCGCAAAGTCTCTCACCTGCTCACTCTCGCTCGGTCATAATTCTCGCGGCGGCAGAATTTTGCAAAATTCTCGAGGGGCCCTTGAGGCGGTGAGTCGAACTGGCGATTCGGCTGCGCCCTTGGCAAATCACGTGGTGGCGACGCCTATGGCGCCATCCGCCATTTCGTGTCTGGCAGCTTGTTACGAGGTGCCGACTACCCTGTACACCGCCGAGATGTCGCCCCATGTGAAGCACTGGAGAGCAGGCCATCAAATCAGTCTTGTCATTTCAACCTCTTAAACTGGAACACATCTCACATTCCCGGAATGCAACTTCGGTTGCAAGCAGGGCTGATCGAATCACCCCGATTGATCGGGCGAGCTGGGGGAGCTCAGCCATCACACAGTCAGCGTGACTCCAAGTCCTCACTTCAAAGGTAAGGGGAACAAACAGTGTAAGTTCTTTGCTGATTCGGACATTTGAAGATGGAGTGACATTGACATTCCATTCTATCCACATCGTCATTCCCCCGAAAATCCCCCTTGAGCTCACCTTGGCAGTCAACGCGGCCTGCCGGTTCCTTATTCGACCTCTTGTCCAGCCTGCTCGGACATTCCTCATCCGTACACACCACACTTTATTAGCACTGCCACGCACGGTCAACTCGGAGAGGCCCATTTGTTGTGGCCTGTGATCTGTCGCCCACCTTGTCGTTGGCAGCGCTTCATTACATCTGCCCAGAAAGAGAGTGTGTTTGTTGAGAAGACAGCGGCAGCCAGTGACAGTCGCTGCTGAGGTGACCGATGTGGTTCGCCGACAGCCTGATTTCCTGGCCAGCACAAGATGGAATCCTTTTAAATCTCCTCTCATCTCTGATCTTGTTGAATTGATCGGTCGTGATGGCCAACGAAAATCGAAACCAACATCTGACTTGCCCCTTCTGCCGCTTCGATTGCAATGACTTCGACTCCCTCGAAAAACACGTGCAACATCTTCACACCGACCGACAGCCTGACCCTCGGCAGCCTTACAGTGCCACATCCCAGCTGAGTGATGCAGAGTTAGCTCAACTTCTTGCTTTTGAAGAAGCAGGCCTGCCTGCCGAACTAGCCTTACCAGACCGTCGGAATGTTCCTGCCTGTGGTGAAACACAGACACCGGAAAGTGCAACGGATCTGGAACAGTCTCCTTCATCCTCTCAAGGTGGAAATGAAGAATCATGGGTACTATGTGTCTGTGGCGAACGTGTACATTTTCTCGAGCTCGATGCCCATTCCGACATGCATGCTCAAGAGAATATTACCCTGGATGAGATCGATATCCCTAGCGGAGACGTGGAGCTCGCGACGACTGCTGAACCGCCGCTAGCTGATCTCTCCAACTCATTTAGCACTCGTATCCCAAAGTCTCTTCGCAACTATGACCAAATACATGACAGAACTCCTCGTAGCGAAAAGCGACGCGGCCCTTCTCTCAAGGATATCTTCCTGGGCACCCACGCATCTCCTAAGAGGGAATCAGCCATTTCGGCGGTGTCTGCAAAGGTCGGAAAGACAAAACGGTTGGGAGTGAGTCCACCCAGGTCTAACATTGGATGCTGTCAGGCTGACTGTTTACAGAGGTCGGAACTGGGTCCTTATGCACACGAGCACCAGATGCCGAGCTGGCTGCGCCGAATGCTCGAAAAAGGCGCCAAGGTCACCATCACGAACAGAATCGGGCCTGACGGCACGTTAGTCAAAGTCGAAACCATTGCCAACGAGACGCCCAACCTTGTACCCGTTCTCTCTTGGCTGTCTCACCTGGACAGAACGGTCGAACGTGCATTCTATTGCAGTCCGAAAGTTGTCCACGTGTGCAAGATGCCAAGGGAAGGCGGATTCTGTGGCTATCGAAATATCCAAATGCTGTTGTCTTATCTCCACAATACGGACGCTAATGGCGCAGAGAAGTTCCCAGGAAGACTGCCGTCAATATTGAAACTCCAGGATATGATTGAGAATGCTTGGGACCGGGGCTTCAACTCTGTCGGGCGTGCGGAGACTGGCGGAATCAGATTCACTCGAAAATTCATTGGCACACCGGAGGCGCAGGCATTGTTTATGAGTCTTGATATTCCTTGCGAAGCGACCGCATACGCCACTACGAAGGAAGTCGAGGGCTTCGAGACAATGCTTTGTGCTGTCTGCGAATATTTCGACGACGACGTCACCAAAGACAACATCAACAAGGTTGTTATCACGGCCAAACCACCCATCTACTTCCAACACCGTGGCCATTCCATGACCATTGTCGGAGTTGAGCAAAGATTAAATGGCGTCGTCAATTTAGTCGTTTTTGATCCGATGTTCAACCCTAGTCCGGCGCTCAAGAAACTTGCCCTTTCACGTTCCACTGCATTCGGGTGTGCTAGGCCTGGTAAGTTTCTGAACGCCCATCGACGAGATGAAAAGTACTTGTACAAGTTCAAGGACTTTGAGCTGTTGAAGTTGAGAACGAAGTCACCGTAACATGCCGGAGACACACATTTGATCTTCTTCATCATTCCTATTGTGCACCGGAGGGGAGGGTTGGCGGATTTGGCTCATTGCGGCTTGAGCATCTTTTTGGAAGTGAGGATATTTTTGATATTGCACTGCAACGGGGACTATGAGGGATTTGGTCGAACAGATGACTGCTTCAGTCGGACGGACGGATCAGGCAACAACAGTGTTGGGGCATGTCTAGGGACAATTTGTTAGTCTTTTCAACGATATAATATATCGGTACTTTGTATACGCCTCGCCCGGCCGTGCTCGATGTTACGAGGTAATTCCCGAAGCTAGGATGTTGCTCTTGTTGGGAGTTCAGAATCAAAACTGTGCGACTCACAATGGCGACCTCATCAGGCTGCAGCCTCGCAGCCTTGGCCGTTTCAAATCTTCATTTTCCGGTCTAATGTTGTTGGATTCCTGGATGTAGAGCAAAATCAGCACATATTGATACTTGTTGCCTCGTTGTCCTGATAGCCACAGAATCCAGTCAGGCGTCAACGGCATTTCAAACAAGTTAGACCGCCCTTGTCCTTTTCGTTGGGAATACCGCCAGCGTCCCTGCCACTTTTGTTTTCATTACGCTTCACAGATTATTCTCGCTGTCATACTGACAGACTCCCTTCTTCACTCTTGCGTGCTTGCTTGCTTCCTTTCTATGCCCCCAAGTTATAAAGACGAAACAAACATGTCTCCCTCAAGCCCGACTCCGACCCCGACCCAGGCCCAACAGTCCGGACCGCGCCCAAAAGTCTTGAACTTCATAACCGGCAACGCCAACAAACTGGCCGAAGTGCTCGCGATTCTCGGCGACGTCCCCGGTCTGGTCCTGCAGAGCCGCAATGTCGAGGGCGTCGAGATCCAGGGATCCATTGAGGAGGTCGCAAGGGATAAGGCCAGCAGGGCCGCGAGGGCGGTGAGTGGCTTTCGTTTTCATTTTTCATCTCCCCTTCGCACTTTGTTTCCCCTTTTTTGTTTGGCTTTCCACTTACCCCCGGGAGGGGGGGAATTTGATGGGATGGGTGAAGGGCTTGTTTTGGGATACGAGGAGAACGGGGGGGGGGGAGAGAGTGGAATATGCACGGAGGACCATGCGAGGCGAAAATGGGCATGGAGAAGCGATGAGAAATAGCCCCAGGGAGCCAGATTTGCTAATTTCTCCTCTACGACACCGGGGACGCAGGGGAAAGCCAGGAAACAGGAGGAGGAGCAATGAAATGGCCAAGGACTCTTGTTTACACTCGAAACTCAGAGATCGGAACCCTCAGCCTTGCGGTGGCTGCTGAATCAATGCTACAAAGAGTCCTTGTTTCTACGGACAGGCTAACAATCAGATCCGCACGCCAGGTAAACGGTCCAGTCCTTACCGAAGACACAGCCCTGGAGTTTCAGGCGCTGAAGGGTTTGCCAGGGCCTTATATGTGAGTCGGCCCCCCAAGTCTCTGAAAGGCATCCTTGGACCTTTGAGTCGTCGTCCTCATCGTCCCCTCATCCCTTTTCTTCTTCCCAAAAGGCCATCGACCTCTTCCTCGCAACCACTAACTCTGTACCTCCCTCGTTATAGTAAGTACTTCCTCCAGGCCCTCGGTCACGAAGGCCTCAACAAGATGCTCGCCGCATACGAAGACAAAACCGCCTTCGCCGTCTGCACATTCGCATACTGCGCAGGTCCCGGCCATGAGCCGATTCTGTTCCAGGGGCGGTGTAAGGGAAAGATCGTGCCGGCCAGAGGACCACCTGTCTTTGGTATGTGACACTCTTCCAGTTCGGACATTCGCACAAAGCCTGCCTGCGATTTTGCCGTGGGGCTTTCTCTGACCGCTGTGTCTTCAACAGGCTGGGATGCCGTCTTCGAGTTCGAAGATGGCCAGACGTACGCTGAAATGGAGAAGGAGAAGAAGGTATGTCCTCTTCAGGGTCGCCCACCCTTTCGTCATCGAAATATTTTTGACCACTTCCCTCGTGTAGAATCTGATCTCGCATCGAGGCAAGGCTCTAGCAAAGCTGAAAGCCTGGCTTGCTGGAGGCGAGCTGGAGCCGTAGTTGTCACAGCCATCCATCATTCCGATAGACCTATAGATTTTTGCGGCATGCCCATCACAGCAATAGAGAGAAAATTATCCAGCTTGAGATCTCTTCTCCCTCCCGCTAATCTCCCTCGTCTGTTGTATGATCTTTAATCCAGTTCTTGACCCATTGCAGAATCCTCTCGGCGTTCTCCTCGATGTCGTCCGCCTCGACGCTCTTCAGTTCCACAACACGGCCTTCCTCTTCTTCCCCCCATCCTTCTTTGGCCTCCTCGCTGACCACACCAAAGATCTCGGCGTCCATATTTTCCTGCACTTTGGTATCTCTGTAGCCCCGCGCTACGAGGCGGTCGTAGAGCACGTTGGTCTGTTCGCATCGCAGCACGACAACGAGATCGACCCAGCGCACGGCAAATCCTGCGGTGGAGTGCCAATCAATCAGCCACCCGCCCTCGCCCTCGCCGTCAGAGATGTCTTTCTCCACCTCGTCCATCAGCTTGTCGTCGTCCACAATCAGGGTCTGCAGCTCTTCGTCGAAGCCTGAGTGGCAGGAGCGGGATTTGACGAGGTCGTTGATCGAAAGGTGCTTGAGATTGATGGGGGGCGTTGAGGCCGAGGCGAGACCGAGGAGCTGGGTGCAGGTCGTCGACTTGCCGACGCCAGGGGTGCCCGTTATTATGATGTTGGGAAGAGAGCGCATCGTCTGTCTGGTCAATGACTTGCGGAGCCTATCGCAGGGCCGGCGTTCTGTGCGGATTGGGTGATGTAAGGGGATGTCTATGAGGAGAGAATGTGGGAGTCAACAGGTCGCATGGATGATTGAACAGTAAGAGGTAAATCTTTCGAAACAGCGTTGCAAGGAAAAAAGTTCGAAGATGCGGGGAGTCAGCGTGAATGTGAGTGCGAGAGTGTGAGTGGGGCCTACCAGCCTTGTGAGGGCGGGTAAGGCGGGATACGGTGCGACGAGGCTGACTGACGGGTAACTAGTGGGTTTACAGCACCAACGGCTCTTCCTAGGATCCCTAGCGGACTTCATCGTAGTCCATGCTGTACTCCGTATGCTCGGTATACTCTCAGCCCTTAGTTGCGAATACTTCCTCAACAGCATGTCCCCCCAAGTCTCAAACAAGCTTGAACTTGATGACTTTTGCCCCGATCTTCATCCGGCTCTTCTCATCGATCTCACAGTCCATCACCTGCACTCGTTCATCTGCCCAGTAGTGGCCATTCTTCTCCATCCGCTGCAAACACATGAGCATGGTTATCTTCCACTCTCCTTGCCTCTTGGGACCCTTCTCTCCTGATAACACCATGAACCTCATGATACACTGGTCTGGCGCGCCAGGCCGCATCCAGCCATATGTAGCCTAGAGGAGTGTGAGCCTCACAACCCTCATGGGCTTCATGCTCGGTGAACACGCAGCCTACTTTTTCTTCTGTCTGCTTGGCTGCTGGGACAGATGGTGCGGCCGCTGTCTCCGCATCCATCCACTTGATCTCTGGCAGCGGCTGCGAGAGCAAGTCAAACAAGGTAATCTTTCGCGGGGGCGGCAGAGAGGGCTGCTGACTCTGACTGCACCTGTTCGGGAACACGGCGTAGAGACTATTGGAGGCATCGGATTCGACGTGGTCAAGTGCAAGGCGTAAATCTGCCATACATCCATATAACCACCGCTCTGGGTTGTTGTAGTAATTACCACCAGTCGCGGCGGGAATTCCAAACCTGGGGCCCGTCAAAGCATGGCATGCCGGTTTTCGTAGTTCAAGGTTATCTTCAACGCCTTCGTGGTAGAAGAGGCCGGGATCGTAAATCACTTGGCTTGTACAGGCTGTCTGAAGCATCTTCCGATCGAACGAGACTGCGTCGTCCCAGCCCAGCCATGACCAGGTAGGGAATACTTGGTTGCTGAGGTGCGGATTGTGTCGGCGAGTGCGCCAGCATATAAGTTGATCAAAGGCACATATTGGGAGGCCGTAGCAAAACAAGGATGTCTCGCCGTCCATCTTCCCATTGTACCTCCGAAACACTCCTTGAAAGGCATTTATCTTGTCATCCTTCCTGGTGAGCTTCCGTTGGGAATAATGCTCGACCGCAGGGATATACGACTCTAGCTCTTCGCCAGGAGGTATAAAGAGTATACTGCCAACAGCGTTGAACTTGGAAACGCTCTGGCTCTCTTTGCCCTGTAGCCGAGATCCGTTCGCATCGTAGGAGCCCGCTCGGCACTGCATATATATCCCACTCGACGTGAACAGGATGAGACGGTGTGACAGAACCTCCTCCTGGTAACACCATGCGCGACTGCTCCAGGGCGACGACTCGATCATAGCGTTTAGAGATTCCTCTGACTTACACTCTTTCCAAGACCCCAACTGTTGGGCTGGCAAATTACCAAACAATCCGATTGCCGTTGATTCAGCTGACACGGCAGTGATGGTGCACTTGGCTGCGGAATATATCTGCCTCATCCGAAGCATTTGAAACTTCAAGTCTCGCGAAGATTCCTGCATGATGCAAAGTGCGTCAATCCACAAGTATCTCTCCCCAAGTTGCTCACATACGATGGTCGCATCTCGAATGGTCGTAGGGAGCTTTGGCCGGACGTCAAGTCCCCCATCGTGCATCAGAATGGGTGCTGTAGCAGCGTTGAGCTCGGGTTGGTCCACGCCACCCCAAACATATGTTAACGCGATGTATGAACAACCCTCCGGCGCCTCGGCGATGCAGCGTCGATGAGTGTCAATGACCTTGAATCAGGTTCCCGGAAGGTTCTGCCACGGGATTGGCGAAGCTTTGCTCTCGGTGTGGTTGCAGTCGTCTTCGCAGAAAGACAGCCATCGGCTGATAGGGGTGAAATCAACCCCTGATACCGTGGACTTGATAGTTTCCAGCTGTGGTGGTGATGATGAGTCCAACTGCGCTCCCTTTAGGCTGTCAGTGATCTCTTGGGGATAGATTCTGGTATTATAACTAACATGTGGCCTCCCATTTTTGCACAATGACCCCGCCAAAGTCGCCTGCCTTTCGGAAATTTCGTGATTGCTTTCTTTAGTAACATCGACTTCACTCCAAGGACACAGGATTCGGCTCTCCCGGCCACAGCTCTCGGTACAATCGACGTGCTCGAATCCACTCTATTTCATCCCATGACCCATCAGAGCCAGGGGGGAAGGTGAGATTGCATGTCGGGGGGTCGGGATTGCCGCTTACCTTGGCTCAAATTGTGTTGGTGCCAGCAAATATCCTCTCAACAAGACACAGGCAACGGCAACATCATACGGCTTCTCAAATGTTTTAACAAAGTGATGGCAGACTTGTTCGCTTAAACAAAAATCCTCATGTGCATCATCAGAAACACCATTGAAACAGATCCCATCATCAACGTTCGCTCTTGGTGACGAGAATCTATCTTCAACATAGGGGCCACGAACCAGTACGTCGGCAGCCTCGAGGATGAGGGGGACGTCTTCGATCAGTCTCGGCCAAGCGGCCTGCCATTCCGCTGCATGCCAACAGCGGACATCGTAGTAATGTGTATAGCTATACCGATTTAGTCAGGATCATCTGTAGCATATTTGTTAATGGTCTTACCCCATTCTAGTCCAAGGAAGCCGGAGAACGTTCTCCTAGAGCGATTGACTGACGGCGCAGACATCCTCTGACTATATCGACTTCAGGAAGAGATATCTAAGAGATGCAGCCTACAACGACTGTCTCTAGAAAGAAGAAACACTTAGCGGAGAGTTGCTGGGAAGAACGTCGCAGGACAAAATGCAGCCGAGGTTTTCGCCCCCAAATCAGTGAGGCTATGTGGGAGCGTTGTCCTGCCAGCAGGATGCTCATGCGTGAGGCCAGATTCCGGATGCCTCGCCAGATGACAAGTGGCTGCCTTCACGATCATCGATAGCCTAAACAATGCTGAGCATTTGCTGAGCATTTCCAGTACGGCTAGAGATGATTGCAAAAGTCATGTTTATAGTATTGCCACGCCGTATGCGCAGCGACAAGGTCTCGTTTCGGCTGTCGGATTGGGAAGACTCTGGCCTCCTGTCTGCTGCACAAGGCCCGTAGCGTTTCTCCGATATCTAGGCGACCAAGCGAGAAAGACCTGAGGTTCAAGTGATGACATCGGGAACAGTTAGCCAGCTCCAGGACGTCCGAATCTGCTGTGCCAACCAATAGTTCTCCGGGATGGTAAACACAACGGAGGCCCTTGCCAGTTGCAAGACTCCCGTGTCTATGCTTTTGACACCCATTTGACAACATGTTGTCTGTTTCTCTCCAGGTATATCTACAATTACAGGAGCTAACCCAAGATCAAAATTCACCCTCCACTATCGCCAACGAGCTCAAAGTCAACGAAGTTGAAGAGGTTGGGGTCAAGGACAAAGTCGTTCACGGCAGCTTCGAGAGAACCCCAAGCGCCGCCATGTGAAGTGTCCATGTCTCCAGTCTTGGTATTGTATTGTGCAGGCGATGTCTGCACATCGTCCGTGAAGACATCTGCCAGCAGTGGACAGCCCTCCACTATCCGAGCCAGGGTTCTCCTCATTCTGGCGGTGATGTGAAAATGTGGCTGTAGGTCTTTCATCATTTCATCCAACAACCGGAGCCACCGAAGGCCATTCTCGTCGACGGAAGAAGGCTCGGCTCCCAGGAGATCGGAGATTAATATGGTCGCCGCTACATATAGATTATCCAGCATCACAGAAGGAGTTTTTTCCACTCCAAAGATCTGTCTGTAAGTGATACCTAGTTGGGCAATCTTCACTGCGTTGTGGTGCACAAGTTGACGAGATGTCTCAGCGGTCCAATTGCGAAGGACTGGTGGCTGGTCAGTTCCTTCACCTTGTTTGCGCTTCCTGTGGGTTGATATTGGAAGGGAATGCAATAACATCTGCACCCGTAAGTACTGCATGTGCAGACCGTATGCGACTGCATCAAGACCAGAAACGTTACTGTAATCGAGTGCGATATCTGCCGGCAATAGTGTGTACCACCTGCGCAACTTTTCATCAAGTTCTGACAGCCGACTCAGAGTGCTTGCCTGCATAGGGGAGGGTCTGTTGAGGAGTGCGGTAATCTCAGCGATTAGTACGCAGAGGTCAAACCACGGCCTGAGAGTTGGATTGTCAGATACATGGCCAGCATACGCAGAAATGGACGGGCTCAAGATTGTTATGTGGCTCGGACGTCCCAGGTATAAACTCCAAAGGGTCTCGTAGACGAAGCAGCCTAATGCGACCGAGGCGCGGAAACTTTCTTCGTGCGTGTTCGCGACATCTTGGTCACTGTTCTTGGCCCACATGTGGTGCAGACCAAGGTCAACAATGAGCCGGCAAGCAATACCTAGCACTCCATTAGCGGGACGCACGTCGATGAAAGAGACAATCCTCACCGCAGTACATCCAACCGACTCTATCCCGTCCTTCAGTCATTTCGTAGTCGCTGAGGAGTAGCATTCCCTGTAGTGTCGCCATGTTTGGGTCTTCCAACTCTGACACTATCTCTGATTTGGCACGCATCGCAAAGCTCGAGCCAAGGGCGCGAACCGCAGCAGAAGTGCTCAAACGCGCACTACACGCCAGGAGGGAGTTTTCCAGAAACTTAGAATAATGTTGTGATCGTATGCCTAGCGCTTGGCGTGACAGAAATATCTCTCGGTTGATAATGGTCACGGAAAGAGTCTGGAAGTTGCAGTAGTTGTTGAACAGGAGGGTTTTCAGCCGGTCGCAATCCATGTCAATCTGTGTACCTGGAGGTGGAGGATGGACACTTGACACACTTCTCACCGCATCAGAGGGAGATGAGACATGGAGTTGACAGGTAGGGCCAAAGTATATGTCAGATTGCTCGGAAACACCCTCCTCCCCATCAATCATATGGGGCATGCGGCTTTGTATTTCGATGTTGATAGAGCCCAAGCTGCGCAAATCCGGTCCTCGCCCGGTTTCTTTCTGTGATAACTGATTCACATATGAAGACTCATTGGGGGGCTCTGCCGTAGCCGTAGTTGTGCCGTGGATCGAAGCGGCTTTGGGCACGAGTTTGCTAGTGGCCATATCTGTCATTTGCGGACTCGGTCGCCTTGACAAATCAGCAATTCATACGAGGTAGATAGCGTCTGGGGATATTGGACAAAGCATACTGAGCTACAGAGTTAGCAGAGAGTTGCCGTGCTTCGTTGTGTCGAGAGCACTCATCAGTGCTTGTATTTGGCTGTCCAACCACTGATGAAGCCTGGTGAGCCATCACGGGAATAGTGTCCTGTAGCGCTTGTACATGGGCAAGATCCGGTCCGGTGCTAACAGCGCTGGCTGGCTGCAAGTTCAATTGCGGTGTCTTCTCTGCCGGGCCACCGTCGTCCGAAGTATTCACATCAGGAAGAGCTTGACGGACTAGGGTCTCCAGTGATCGGATCTGCTCTTGAAGTGCAGCAACGTGTTCGCGAGAACCGTGCCTGAGAACCAACTGTCAGCTCAGAGAAATGTTGGGACCCAAGTAACGGACTTCCTGCGATCCGAAAACTGGCTAACGTGACAGTGGATGTTGGATATGCGGCATCCAGTACAGGTAGATCCGGTGGGAAGACGTTGAATGTCACACTAAGGGGATATTAGTTGATCCTCCTGACCGATTGATATTGCCTAAATCACAATATTTTGCTCACTGACTTTGATCTTACGCTGACGGCAGCTGTGGCATGCTAATGAAGCTCGAGACCGAGCGGTGGGAGATCTCTTCAGGCGCTTGACATTAGATGAGTCCCCAGCTAGGGGTGAAGCGGCTCGTGGGGTTGCGAAGGCGTCGTCTGAGCCCATCTGAATCCGGCCAAGCAGGATTGCGATGCCTATGCTTTGGTTGGGATCCGATCAAGTGAAATGATTCATGCAGAGGACAGGAAGCTTGATATATTGCATTTGGAGCGTCGAGTTCGACCAGATCCTGGGTTTGATATTCGTGAGGCCCACAACACCTCGCTTCAGGGTATCGGAGAGAATGTGCGGGGAAAGCGAAATAGGGTGCGTTCGAGGCCTCTGGAGTCCAGTGTGTGGCACTAAAGGCGCGGAGGCAGCATAACGCGGCCAACGTGCCGGTTGCAATAGTGCCAAAGGGATTTAATCATACTGGGCTGATCGCCTTCGCAGTGCTGTTGTGTATAGCCAGGTGTCACCATACATCCCTTCGACATTTAACATGTCGTCAATATAGATACAAGAGCTCCGGAGCCAGATCAAGTGCTAGCATGATATCTTCCGACGGGTCCACTGCGCGTGGCTAGGTCTCGCATATGCGGATGTTCGAGGCCATATTGCTGATCGTGTGTAGACTAGAAACCTGCAAGCCTGGGAAATCTTTGTCGGAGGCCGATAGAATGTCTTTCCGGGTTGCCTCTGGCACTCAACCTTGTGTGCTCACGGCAGGCTGGTGCTTCAGCGTTGCGTGCTCTCGAGCGGGGCTCTTGCGAGGTACTCGGTAATGCCTACCCGTGAAGACAGTTCCGAGGCTGAGGCTGAATTAACGGGTGAGGTTTTCCGAGCAGGAACCTCTAAGGCTGTTCCGGCCCCGTGATCTTGACTCCGTAGTCTTGGCGTAGGGGCTCCGGCTAATGACCTGCCGGTTT